AATCCATAAGGCATCAGCATTCTCTTTGGGCGACATTTGTGTGCCACCGATGGCGAATGTGCTGAAAGTATTTCTAGAAAATGGCCAAACAAAGTCATTTAAGTACGATGCGACCACCTCTGTACAGGTATTCAATTAGTTATAATGTTATAAATTATGCTTATGTAGTTTGGTATTGCTATTATGTATATACATATATACATAACTATGTATGTATATGGTTTGCTGGAATAACTTTATTCCAGATTGTAGAGTTGTCTACTTTGATTATTTGCTTTGGCTAAAAATTGACTGTTTTCTCTGAATGTAATAAATAGAAGAGGGGAATGTAGCATGAAAACACTACGTTTTTCTCAACACTTGATTTGGTAATGCACAGTTATGTAAATTATTGTTATAGTTACCAAATCTTGTGTTGAGAGAAACATATTCAGCCGACTATTTTCTCAGTGTACATCCATATATACATATTAGATGTGACACTATCCGTGAATTCGGATATCCGTTCGGACATTCGTTCCTTTTCGTTATCCGGATATTCTAAAAAGTTTTTGAGCGGATTCGTAAATTGTTCTCAAAATTACTGAATCCTTTGAGTTGCAAAATAAGTAATAGAATGCTTCATTCATTCAAAAACAATTGTTAGCTCTGATCCAGTGTTGGCAAAATGTTAAACTGATTAACGATTAAAAATTAACAATTAAAATGTTAATCGCGATTATTGATTAAAATTAATTAATGGTAATCACTCTTCTGTTGGAATAGATTTTTTGGAATTTTTTGTTATCCAAAGTGTTCCATAGGCCGAGGCCACGCAATGAGCGGCTGAGTGGCGCCATACAGAAATGCCGCTCATTGCGTGGCCACTTCAATAGTATTTCATATGTTTTAATTTTAAGCCGCTCACCGCTCAGCCGCTCATTCCGTGGTCTCGGCCTTACTATAGTGTTTCTTTTTATGCGCCTCACTGTGTCATCCCATCTTCTTTGGTACACGTTATGTATGCGAATAGATCTTGCATAGAATGGTTATCTGGAGGGTCCCCATAGCCTTCTTATATGCCTTGCATATGAGCACCGAAACCCATATCGCCAGAACAATTTGGGTTAGAATCTAGTCTTCGGCTTTAATCCTAGAAATCCTGTAAAGTCCAATTAAGACACAATGCCTGAAAAGTTTGGTGCATTGTAGTAAAATATTATTCGATTTCACTTCATATGTACTGAATGCATAGCGAGCTGGTGCAAGTGAAAGGAACTTTTTCAGCACATAATGACTCTTGGCCTAGCAAAAGATTATAAACTATTATTTACCACCTAAACGAACGAAAACGGTAAGATCTAAGCGCCGCCAGATATAACTTATTTTCGAAGTAACAAAATATTTATACTAATGCACTTAAGAATGTACACACGTGTATCTACTTGCTTGGGTAGGCGGCCCATTGACAGGAATCAGGTAGGGAAGGTACGTAAAAACGTTTCTTACCCTTGTTAATGTCGAAATTTACGTAATATTGCAAAAATTCATTTTCAGTATTCGCAGCTACTTTATGGTTGCTTCTGGGGTTGAAGTAATTCACTAGCTGATAAAAAAAACTTCAATTCGTTTATGTTTACCTTCCTTTTATTAGCTCGGGATGTAACTATGTAATATTGATGCGCCTAAAAGATGCAGCGATTTCTATTCTCAAGCTACATACCTGATTGACAGTACGAATGGCGATTATAATAGGCAGGTTTTTGGTTTTTTAAACTATAATTTAGATTTTTGTGTGGAATATGGCTGGAAATTATGTTACGTATACGCCACGTATTCACGCGTTTTATCAAACCTAAGAGGAAAACCACTATTGATTATACGAATTTTAAGCGTCTGGCGAACATTGATTTTTAATAATATTTTGTAAAACATATGTAAATACGTATGAAAAGAAAATACCACTCCTATTTTAACAATGGTAAGTAACGTTTTTACGTACTTTTCCTACCTGGTGCCTGTTAAAGGGGCGCTTACCCAGCAAGCAGATACCCATACATTTTAAATATGTACAAACATATAAAACTAGTTAATTCTTAAATTTTGTTACTTCCAAAATAAGTTTGGTCTGGTGGCCCTGCGAGCTTGGACTAAATATGCATATACATATAGCATTCCAAAAAGTCCGACTGGGTATGTGTATACTTTAAGTGCACATGATCTAACAAAATTATTATCCTTCTAGGATGTAATGGGTTCGCTTTTGGACAAGCTGTGCCTCTCAACAGGAGAAATATTTAGCCTTGTGCTAGAGCATGTGAAAAGTTTGAAGCGAAATAAACTCACATTGCTCGATCCTGAGGAATCTTTAGCGCGTGTAAATATATTTTATAAATATTTACTGAAAATCTTTAATAATAAATTTTGGCATTATTATAGATTGCTGCACGACCAGGTGCGCACAAGCTGCGATGTCTATTTCGGGTAACTTTTGTGCCAATATCGGCAGCTGATTTAGCTCAAAAGGATCTAAATGCACTCGATTATTTGTATATGCAGTGCTGTAATGATGTTACTCAAGAGCGTTTTGCGCCTGAACTTCAACCGGAGGTTGCGTTAAGACTAGCCGCATTGCATATGCATCAGCATGCCTTGGCCAATAACGTTTCTCCAACGAAGTTGACAGTTAAATTTGTAGAGTAAATGAAATGTTTATACAATACTTAGAAAAATACATATGACTATCTTTTAATATTTTCAGGCGTGAGTTCGGCTTGGAAAGATTTGTGCCCATATCTTTGTTTGAAGGTATGAAACGAAAAGAGCTGAGACGCTTAATATCACATTTCTTAAAATTAAATGCGGAGATGACGGGATCATCAACCAAAGTTTTGACACAACTTCAGGTAATACTTATTGCTATTCTCAATTTTTTGAATTGGCACAAACTTACATAAGTAGGCATGTTTGTGCAAGTCTACCCAGCAGAATAGGTTCAACATGATTTTTAACTTTAACCGTTTGGTGCGTCTACTAGCTTATTCTCGAGTTATTTTTTGTAAATGCAGCGAAAATTATATTCAATTCAGACACAAACAACATCAAAATAAAAACATCGAGACCACCATTGGTAATGTTAAAAAAGAAACCAAGTAATATTTAATCGTACTCAAGAATAATTTCAGTCCAAGTTATTTGTCTAGAGGACAGAAGGAAAGCATTCCGACCATTTCTCACAACGCTAAGGTCAGATTAACATGGTGTCTAGTCCTGCAGCGAAACATTTCGTATTTTCCTTCTCCTGGAATGGTGCTTTAACAGCTTAACCGATTTAAGAAACACCATGCCCCACATCACTAAGTCTCTCTCCACCTAATCTTTCCAACGCAGATAAGCCTTCCTGCACAAGCGGGTACCGCTTCGAATACCCGTAAGGATGGAGTAATTGAATTCATTCGTACGACGTGGTATGCTCTGGCTGCTGTATTCTTATTCGATGAACTAACTGCATATGTATGTAGATCTGTATACCAATGTCGTTGTAAAGCTCATACAGTTAGTCGTTCTAAAGTCTCAGGTACCCGCCGTAACAAATGCATAAAGAGGCGCCACCTTCTTAGATTATGTCAAGATTGTGGTAGGTGTTATTGAGTTGGATTCAAATTATCAACTTATACCAAAGCGGTTTACGATGTTGCGATGTTTATATAAGCGCTCATACAAGCCACCACATATCGACGGTCGCTCCCCTTTGTGTGACAACATCAAGGCGCACGCCACAATTTGGAGGAGAAGCTCGGCCAAACACTAACATATGTGTAAGCGCCAATCTATTATTATTATTATGTTGCTATCACTAACCATTTTTCGATAATTTTCGATTCCACTATTAATAGGAGCGTTCCTTATCTCCCAGAAATAGTCAGAAAAAGTCCGAAGTAGTCAGATTTAGTCCAAAAAGCGTTCCTTAACTGGGAAATGACAGCAAAAATGAGAGAGCAACACTCGGTGAGAGTGACTCTGTCATCAGTCCGAGTAGTCAGATTTAGTCAGAAGAATTTTTTCTGGCAAAATCCTGAAAAGTGTCAAACTCAACTGAATTTAAATTAACGGAAATTAAAGAATACGCAAAAAGTGAGAATAATCTAAAAAGTAAAAAAAGTGAATTGAAATTGGAAGGAGGCAAAAAATAATTGATATAGTAAGTGTTTATTGTGCTTGTGTTTGCGTGAAGGTGTTTTGTACATACATTTACATTCTTATTTGACGTTAGCTTTGTTGTTGCCATTCTTTGCACTAAAAATTTGGTTTTTTGTGTTCCTTTACTTTTCCTGTTATTCTCTTTTAGTGAGCGCATTTTGCTTACGCTCTGACATTTTGACACTTTTCAGATTTTAGTCCAAAAAGATAAGGAATGAACCTAATAAATGAATAGTAAACTGAAATTCTCAGTGCAGTTACAATTTAGTGCAGGGTGTAGTACAAATTCAAAAAACTCATATCGGGCTCTGAAAATTCAATGCAAACGAAGTTAGCACTGATACTGATAAAATAAAGATCAAATATTACTTGAATGCTTATTTCGTAAATAAAGTCGCAAGAAAATATATACTTGTATTTTAATCTGGTGTCTTATGACGTTTTTGTTGGACGTTTAAGAAAAAACTTATCAATTATATTGAACCTATTCTGCTGTAAGTTCATACTTACATACGCAGTACTTATACTTGACTGACATGAATTATTTTAGGCGAAATTACACTACTTAGATATTATTGCAAGTTTGCCAAGCTACGGCGCCAAATGTTTCAGCACAAACCAAAGAGAAGGAGTCGAGCGTGTTTTACTTGTTAGCCCGAGGTTTGGTTTGAGTCAAATATCCAGTACCAGAAATTCGGTTGTAAGTATTATTTTACATATACATATGCAACAGATGTATGTATTATGGATGTTAATTTTTTCGCTTTTTACGATCTTGGCATTTTGTTTGAGAATCTCTCCAGCCATTAAAATAAAAAATAAATAAATCGGTTTGAAACGTAATTTTTTTATTTAAAGTGAAAATTATTTCATAAGTAACAAAACCAAAGACAGTAATTAAATGTATACGCATTTAATAATACTTTGCGTATACATATCTGATAAAGTACCTTAAATGAAAGGGGGAATTTCTTTAGAATTAAAAAAAAAAATTAAATATTTTGGATTCACGACGGGGACAAATAGGTAGTTTCTTTAAATGAATCTGCTTAAATTCTACAGAATTTTCTCTTTAATTTGGTACCCATATTTTTTCGCTAGGCGTATTTCACTGATTTTTGTTTAATCATTTTTGAATTACTCACGTCAGAACAAAAAACTAAAAACCCAATTTTACTATATTTGGCCCATGGTTTCGCGAATATATTTATTTTTTTGTGCGTAAAATTGACTATCGCACGGTGTTATATGTAAAATGAGCTAGACATTTATAAAAAAATATTAATTATTGAATAAAAAAGAAGAAATATAGCAACCACTGGTCCACAAAAGGAGTTTCTATTATTGCCATAATAGGCATATACAACTTTTTTATGTAAAGTACGAATAAATTTCCCAAAAGGGCTAAAAAGGGCCAGGGGCAATTTTAAATTTATGTGGCCAAAAAAAGTATGTGGTAGCTAAATCTAGCCACCAAAAGCCTAAACCGGCAACACTGGTTCTATGTCACTTATTACCTCTTGTGCTTAATTGATCTGTTATCTGTATCTGATCGCTTATGGCAACCGTTCATTTTTAGCAGCCAAAGGTAGACAGTTTTATCATTTGTTTATTAGGGTGTAACGATTTATAGATGCATTCCGGTGCACGTAAGATACCATCTAAGGGTCAAGGGTACTAATAGACATGGACCGTTTTGCAGTATCACCGACGATATGCTGTTTATCAGACCAGCGCTGACAATTGTTAGGTCTAGCGAGCTGATCTGTAACAAAGTTGAATTGGTGTGGAGCTTCGTCTTTTGGACCGCAGTTATTAATATTCCATGCCGACCCATGAAGACGTTTATCTCCTCGGGTGCATTTCTTATAAAAAAAAACATTTGCCGTTCGGAGGGGGCGTAAATCTGTAGGTCCCTGCTCTTTATGTGACAACATAAGGCGTGCGCCACAAATCTAAAGAAAAGCTCGGCCAAACAATGGCCAAATGTTTTTTTAGTTGAAAAAAGCATGTGCCATGTGAAAATAAAAATTTTTTCGAACTTAAGGAGCATTATTTACGTGTAAATTTTCCTTTTATTGACCCACATACTTACATACATATTATACATATAACTAAATAGAATACTTACATATGTAATACAAATGTATATACTCATACAATGTTTTACGTGATATATTTTTTTCGTAATTTTTTTATAAGAATATAATACATACCATATCGTCGTTCGAATAAAGAAACAGTGTAAATGCCACGTACACTATTATTCGATAATTGCACCATTGGATAGACAATCCTGTAATCTATTAGAAAAATATTTAGTTTTCTTAAATATCTCTTTGGCTCACTAACCCTGCAAACCAAAATTCCAGAAATCTTAAGGAAATCGTTAGGAGTATCTCATTTCTGTAACGATTTTTTTTACGAATTTTCAAAAAAAATTATATGAAGAGGTTGACACGAATTCGTAAAGAAATTTCTGTACGAAAAATAAAGAAAATTCTGGAAAAATTCTGAAAGATATTCTTCACATAGCAGCATTATTTTCGTTGCTTCACAGATTTTCTTCCGAAATTTCGTAAAAGAATGGAAGTGTGCGTAATTTATTTCATTTTAGAAAATTCGGCAAAAAATCGAATTAAATCTTAACGGATTCTTTAAAATTTCTTTACAATGCAGAATACTCTGAAAAAATGGTTTGCAGGGAATTTATTCCCGAAAAACGAAATTGTATTTGTATGGTTTGTAATGGTTTATAAAAACTTCCAATTCGTTTTTCTCAAAACTATACTTTTCATGTTAGACTATTTCATTATTCCAGCGACGATATATGGAAGTCAAAGTTTAGCGCCTCTGTAAATGTATGTTTCTAGGTATTTAGTAAAAAACCTAGAATATTTCTGATATGCTTCATTATTTTTGATACAGCCCCAGCCCATATCGGCTATTGAGGATTTTAGTCATGTCATTGTTAACCGAGACGATGACGTTACATGCAATGTGGTCATATTTATGCAAGGTGACAAAGTTGTGAAATTTTCGATGGAGGACCGCGATGCATGTGAATTTTCACTAGTTTTGGCTGGGTATTATCGATTGCTGACAGGTATGACTTTTGTATTCATTGAATTTCCGTTAATATGAGTTTAATATAATTTAAAATATACTTATTTTTATATTAGGGAAAAGGCTCCCATTAGAGCGAGAAAAGGAACAAAATGATGAAGACAACGCACCTTCATATTTATCACAACACACTGTATTGCCCGCAGCTTGGAGCTATTTGTTGCCCTTACATAATAGAGCGCACAGCATAAACTTTCTCATGACACCACCATATCATCCGACAAATAAAAAGGAGAAGTTGTCTGCTACTGAAAGTCCAGATGCAATCGGACCGTCTGACGTTAACTACTCCAGCATTACGGATATTAAACCAAAACCAAAGAGCGTTTCATTTGTTAGTAACGCTGCGATGGATCTGGATATTCACAGTGTTATGGCGACAGAGTTACTAGAGGAAGCAAAGGATTCTGGCATGAGCGATAGTAGTGGAGGTGGAAGTAATTATTGTGAGCAATCAAACTGCTCGAATACAAATGATTTTATTGAGGCTAAAAATGAAGAGGTGCTTCGGCGCGTGCATGAAATGCAGAAAATGGTGGAAAACTCTGAACAGTATTTGAACGAACAATGCGAGTACGTTCAAGATTTTGCTACCCGCCAGAAATCATCTGTGAACTTTAATTATTTCGGCCGAATAAATTCATGGCAAAATGATTTGTTAAATGCGGAACAAAGCGCGAACAAATGGGGCGGTACAATAGAGTTCGACAGCGATTGCGAAAGCATAAACAGCAGTAAGGTTTCTTCAACAGAGGATACCCCACAACCAGGTGCCCTTAAGCATAGCGACTCCTTAGTGCTTTTAGCAGAAGCTATTAATCAGGATATTAATGGCATAACCCAGAGCTTAAAATCTATCGGTAGCAATAGTCAGGATTTAGTAGCAACCAGTGCAAGTGTTAGTGAGGCGTCCAGTCCGCGCTCCGAACGAAAATTCAACAATCTCGGGCAAATACTTAGCAACTTACAAGCAAGTGCCGACTTTTCCCAAAGCGAGAGTGATTCTGAATCGGTTAATTCTCCAACAAACTCACCAACAGCACGTCGACCAATAATTCTGTACCCGGGAGAAACCAGAATCAGCTCTAAAAAGAATTTAGCATATCGTAGCAGCTTCGGCCTACATAGTCCCGATGGCAACAATTTCGGTCCCGATACCAGAGATTATAATTTGAAAGAATATTTAAAGCAACTCAAGGAGATAAGTAATATTGAAGATCGAAATCACGATACCGATATTGCTGCGAAGAAACTGTCAGAAATTTATGGTTTTGAAATACGTGCGGACACATTTATTGAAACTGATGCTGATTTAATTGATCTACGATCTATACCGCCTCCACGAACCCCCGATGAGTTAGACTCGATTACCTTGCTGACTGCAGCACCACACGGATTCGGTGATGGATCCAAAAAGACATCTATACCTGATGTAGACGGTGATTTAGATAAATTTTTAGCGAAAGTAATAGTTGCACCACCGACTCAGAGAGCTACGCCTGCTAAAGAGCTAACACCAGAGGAAATAATGTCATTTATTATACCACCACCACCTAACCTAGAAGAGATTGAAAATTCGAAACAGGAGCATAATTTATCAGAAAAGCAAACCGAAGGCTTATACAGTAACTCTATATTAGAAACAGGAGAAAAGGCTAAAACTAAATCTTTCGAAAGAATTGACACAAACCGGTCACTCAAGGAAGTGAATTCTAAAGAATTTAATGTGGGTAAAGGAGGACACGTCATCGAATATGCAACAGTTGAAAGAAAAGGAACATTTTCATGTTGCCCTAAGTCTAAAAAGGAAGATAATTTCAATGAATCAGAATCGGCAAATACAAGCCTGAAATTACCCCCTCGTTCGCAATCTATAGAAACATCACCTCCACCCATTCGGCCTCCTAAAAGTGCAGAACTAATCAAGCGATTTTCACCAAAGAAACAACAAGGCTCTATTGGAATATTACCGAAAGTGGAAACAGTTACAAAACCGGAAATGATAATGCAGACTGAAACACCACCTATCCTACCGCCAAGAACTTGTACTTCCAGCCGCGAAGAGGAAAGTCGTTCCCCTCCACCGGTGAGTGAAGCCCCAAAAAAGCCACCTCTACCGCCAATAGCCCACCGTCCTACTCCGCGAAATGCACCAGTTAATACAACATACTCTATGAAGAAAAGCGTTTCACCAGTCCCGCCACAAACACCTCCTCGCATTTTCCCGGCGTCTAGTCCTAGTTCAAATTATTCCAGTAGCTTACAACAGCATCACCTTATTACCCCGTCAGCTATTGGTTATCAAAGATCCGCCACTGATTACTCCTCGACCTACCTTCAGAATTCAGTAAGCGATAAATGTCCATTCTCTTTGGTCTGCTCTCCACAAATGGCACGAAAAATAAAAACTCCTGGGCCTGTCGCCGTTCCTTTGAATCCCAACATAACACAAAAATTCGGCGAAAAATATATTATAAAAAATGGACACGTTATTGACAGCGAAGCACTGCTGGCCAAAACCGATTTAGCAATGTCAGGACTTATGGTAAAACTAGATCAAGTAGCCGCTCAGTGTTCGGCAGCGCAACTTGCTGGTGGTGGCATTAGAATTGATGAAGATAAATTCCAGCGGGCGCGAAATGAACTGACCGAACAAACATTAGTTTTGGTGACTGCGTCAAAATTCTTGGTGGTGGCTATGTCCGATATGACGTTATCATCATTGCCAGAACATCTCACTTCATGCCTCACAGCGATCCGGCGTATCACCGAACTCACTCAAGATATGACGCGCCATACCTCATCACCTCTGCAAACCCGTAACATCGTACTCAAAGTGCATGACGTGGCTTCCAGTTTCAGAGAACTAGTAGGTGTAAAAATAGGTCCACTTGGCGCAGGACCACTTGCATTACAGGCTGAATGCTTAGCTAACGTCTTAGCTACATTACTTCGCAGTTTACGAGTCTTCTCACCATGATTTCTTACATAATGATAAGTTCAACCAACAGAATAAATGTCACGCATTTATGAAATCTATGACGCGATTTAAAAACACTAATACGTCGGTTAGTTACCAACGATTGTAACTGTATTGTTATAACTATAAGCCATATACATACATACGAGAACTTTAAAATATAGGATATGCTTTGCATGCGTTAGGGCAAAGAATCGGAATCGGAAGATATCAAGGCACATTAAACAGGTAGTATCAAGGTGTATTTAACAAGGTGCTGTTGGGGCAACAGCTGAGTTTTTCGCCGTGGAGGGCATTACGTCTAAATTATGTAGTTGTTGTAACTCATACCAATGGCAGTATGGATAACTGCGTATAATTTGTTAGTGTAATTTTTTACTTATATACGGCAAATACCACCTTGTTAAATACGCCTTGGGTAGTATCATTAGAGCAGCGGATTTGATTTTTATTTTTTCAAATTTGGTCTCGAAAATGTCAAATATTTTTAATCTATTCTAACAAAAATTCTAAAATTCTAAGTACCCTGTAACTTTAAAGCTCACTTTATATTTAAATTTTGCATTAAAACGGATGATTGTGTCTAAAGTAAAGCATTTTATTATCGGTTTTAAATTGGTTTACCACCAAGATACATATGTACATGCGTAAAATTCTTAACTTTAGTCCTAGCTTTATATTTAATCCAACCTTTAAATATAAAGTGTGCTTTAAGGTTAAAGGTTACATCAGAAAACGGCCCTAAGAAAGAAAGTCGCAATTTAATTTTTTTCCAATTTCAATTTTTTATTTGT